CTCTAATAGAGCTGTGGGGGCACAATGATTAGAATGCAGTATTGCAGGCTAACTTTGCTCACCTCGCCAGGAATTCGATTCCTGTAATCTTGACTGGCACAAGGTTGACTCAATCTTCCATCCTTCCAAGGTTGGTAAAATGAGCCGGATTGCTGGGGGGCAAGATGCTGACTATGTAAACTGCTTAGAGAGGGCTGTGTAGCACTGTGAAGCGGTATATAAGTCCTATTGCTATTGCTAATAGCATTGCTAATTGCTAATCCGCTATGTATTCAAGATGGACAGGGATTAATATTTATATGTATTTATATGTAAGGGTGTAGGTATATACAAATTTATGTATATAGCATGTTTATATGTGTGCTATATACATGTGCACTTTTGAGAGCAGGCAACAGAATTTCATTTTTAATGTGTGCCAATGTGCCCACAGTAAAAAATGACAATAAAGGTTTATCTATCTATCTATCTATCTATCTATCTATCTATCTATCTATCTATCTATCTATCTATCTATCTATCTATCTATCTATCTATCATCTATCTATCTATCTATCTATCTATCTATCTATCTATCTATCTATCTATCTATCTATCTATCTATGATAGATTATCTGTCTGTCTGTCTGTCTATCCGTCTACCCATCTATCTACCCATCCGTCTATCCCTCTATCCGTCTGCCTGTGCCTGCCTGCCTGTCTGCCTGCATCTATCTATCTATCTATCTATCTATCTATCTATCTATCTATCTATCTATCTATCTATCTATCTATCTATCTATCTATCTACCTACCTACCTACCTACCTACCTACCTACCTACCTATCTATGATAGATTATGTCTGTCTGTCTACCCGTCTACCCATCTATCTATCCATCCGTCTATCCCTCTATCCGTCTGCCTGTGCCTGCCTGCCTGCCTGCCTGCATCTATCTATCTATCTATCTATCTATCTATCTATCTATCTATCTATCTATCTATCTATCTATCTATCTATCTATCTATCTATCTAACCGCCCGCCCAACCACCTACCTACCTACCTACCTGGAGGAATCCATTCCTACAAGTCCCAGCATTCCTCCTATTGGCCTTGCCGGCAGAGGCTGCCGGGAGTTGTAGTCCGTCCGGATCTGGGAGGCTTGCCCCCCCCGACGCCCGCGCGCTCTCGGCGCCTCTGGCCCTTTAAGGAGGCGCGTCCCCTCCCCTCTCCTCCGCCGGCCCAGCCCAGCCCAGCCGCTGTTAAAGGGCGTCGCTTCGCCCTTCCCTCCGGTTCCTCGAAGGCTGGCGCGGGATCGAGAGGCAGCACCGCCCGACGATGAAGTGGCTGCTCCGGCGATGCCCCGCCGCTGCCCTGCGGCTCCTGAGCCAGCCGCTGCCCCGCACCACCCGCCTCCCGCAGCGAGGCTACTGCGCCGCCTCTGCCGGAGCCCGCGGGCTGCTCTTCCGACAGGTGAGCTCCGCACGCCCGCACAGCTGGTGGGCACCCCGGGCACTGGGCAGACGCTGACCGGACAGACGCTGCCCCTTTGGCCGCCGTTCTGGAACTCTTTCCAGGAGGAACTCCGCCTTCGCTGCCGTTGCTTTCGCTTTGGGCTGCGATCCCCCGCGGCCGGGGGAGGGGAGGATGGGTGTTGTAATCCAAGGCAGGCAGGGGAGTGGGAGGCAGGAGAGGAGTTTGCAAACGCTGCCTGGTTTGGACCGGGCTCCAAGGTTCCCTCTCTGGGGGGGAAAAAAAAAAAGGCTCCGGGGCTCTTAACCGTGGCAGACCAGGAAATTGGGGGGGTTTTTTTGTGTATGCGTGGAAATGGAGCTTCACATGGCTGGTTGTCTTGTTTTATTAAAATGCGGTGTTAAAATGACTATAGTGAGTGGGAAAGCACAATGGTAGTCGCTACGTTTCGGTATTCAGAGAAATGCAAGATGTGAAGGACAGTTACGTTCCCTTCTGCGCGTTCTTTATATCTGTTTATATATCTTTCCTACCGAAAGATCCCTGTCATCGAAAAAATCTCCAGGCAGAACAGAAAATCCCATCGTCTTGCAGAATAACCGGTGAATTGAAAAAGTGTAGCTAAATAAAAGTGGGCCACATAGAACAGATTTCTATTTTTTTATGCTTTGCCTTGCTTTTCAAACTTACTTTGGAGCTAAGGCCATTGATAAAACATTTGAAGAGAGACGAAGCATATGGGTGAATAAATAACTTAATTCATGAACTCCTAAAAGTCACACCTATGTTTATTATCCAGGGATTTTACTCCAGCAACGTGAATTTTCGGGCTTCACGTGATTTCTGAGGTCAACAGAACAACAGTTCTTATCACATATGCTATCTTGGGTCCATACAGTACGCTCAGTTCAACCCAGTTGCCTAGTTTCTAATTCAGAATATCGTATGAGTCAACCAGGGGACTAAGAATTCAGAGACGAAATGGAGCTTCACATTGCTGGTTATCTTGTTTTATTAAAATGTGGTATTAAAATAATAATAATAATAATAATAATAACAACAACAACAACAACAACAACAACAACAACAACAAAGTTGGAAGGGACCTTGGAGGTCATCTAGTCCAACCCCCTGCTCAGACAGGAAACCCTATACCACTTCGGACAAATGGCTGTCCAGTTTCTTCTTAAAAACTTCCAGTGTTGGAGCATTCACCGCTTCTGGAGGCAGGTTGTTCCACTGGTTAATTGTTCTCACTGTCAGGAAGTTTCTCCTTAGTTCTAGGTTGCTTCTCTCCTTGATTAGTGTCCATCCATTGCTTCTTGTCCTGCCTTCAGGCGCTTTGGAGAATAGCTTGACTCCCTCTTCTTTGGGGCAGCCCCTGAGATACTGGAAGACTGCTATCATGTCCCCCCTCGTCCTTCTCTTCGTTAAACTAGACATACCCAATTCCAGCAGCCGTTCCTTATATGCTTTAGCCTCCAGTCCCCTAATCATCTTTGTTGCTCTTCTCTNCTCTAATAGAGCTGTGGGGGCACAATGATTAGAATGCAGTATTGCAGGCTAACTTTGCTCACCTCGCCAGGAATTCGATTCCTGTAATCTTGACTGGCACAAGGTTGACTCAATCTTCCATCCTTCCAAGGTTGGTAAAATGAGCCGGATTGCTGGGGGGCAAGATGCTGACTATGTAAACTGCTTAGAGAGGGCTGTGAAGCACTGTGAAGCGGTATATAAGTCCAAATGCTATTGCTATTGCTAATAGCATTGCTAATTGCTAATCCGCTATGTATTCAAGATGGACAGGGATTAATATTTATATGTATTTATATGTAAGGGTGTAGGTATATACAAATTTATGTATATAGCATGTTTATATGTGTGCTATATACATGTGCACTTTTGAGAGCAGGCAACAGAATTTCATTTTTAATGTGTGCCAATGTGCCCACAGTAAAAAATGACAATAAAGGTTTATCTATCTATCTATCTATCTATCTATCTATCTATCTATCTATCTATCTATCTATCTATCTATCTATCTATCTATCTATCTATCAGAGATTATCTGTCTGTCTGTCTACCCGTCTACCCGTCTATCTACCCATCCGTCTATCCCTCTATCCGTCTGCCTGCCTGCCTGCCTCTATCTATCTATCTATCTATCTATCTATCTATCTATCTATCTATCTATCTATCTATCTATCTATCTATCTATCTATCTATCTATCTATCTATCTATCTATCTATCTATGTATGATTGGTTATCTGTCTGTCTGTCTACCCATCTACCCATCTATCTACCCATCCGTCTATCCCTCTATCCGTCTGCCTGTGTCTGTCTGTCTGCCTGCCTGCCTGCCTCTCTCTCTCTCTCTCTCTCTCTCTCTAGCTATCAATCTCTCTCTCTCTCTGTCTCTCTCTCTCTCTCTCTCTCTCTCTCTCTCTCTCTCTCTCTCTTTATCTCTCTCTAAAACCTGATCAGACCTTCTTTGAGTGAGATTTTACTCTCTCTCTCTCTCTCTCTCTCTCTCTATCTATCTATCTATCTATCTATCCACCCACCCGCCCAACCACCTACCTACCTACCTACCTGGAGGAATCCATTCCTACAAGTCCCAGCATTCCTCCTATTGGCCTTGCCGGCAGAGGCTGCCGGGAGTTGTAGTCCGTCCGGATCTGGGAGGCTTGCCCCCCCCCCGCTCGCAAGCTCTCGGCGCCTCTGGCCCTTTAAGGAGGCGCGTCCCCTCCCCTCTCCTCCGCCGGCCCAGCCCAGCCCAGCCGCTGTTAAAGGGCGTCGCTTCGCCCTTCCCTCCGGTTCCTCGAAGGCTGGCGCGGGATCGAGAGGCAGCACCGCCCGACGATGAAGTGGCTGCTCCGGCGATGCCCCGCCGCTGCCCTGCGGCTCCTGAGCCAGCCGCTGCCCGGCGCCCGCCTCCCGCAGCGAGGCTACTGCGCCGCCTCTGCCGGAGCCCGCGGGCTGCTCTTCCGACAGGTGAGCTCCGCACGCCCGCACAGCTGGTGGGCACCCCGGACACTGGTTGGCAGCTAACCGGACAGACGCTGCCCCTTTGGCCGCCGTTCTGGAACTCTTTCCAGGAGGAACTCCGCCTTCGCTGCCGTTGCTTTCGCTTTGGGCTGCGATCCCCCCGCGGCCGGGGGAGGGGAGGATGGGTGTTGTAATCCAAGGCAGGCGGGGGAGTGGGAGGCAGGAGAGGAGTTTGCAAACGTTGCCTGGTTTGGACCGGGCTCCAAGGTTCCCTCTCGGGGGGGGGGGGGGGGAAGGCTCCGGGGCTCTTAACCGTGGCAGACCAGGAAATTGGGGGGTTTTTTGTGTGTATGCGTGGAAATGGAGCTTCACATGGCTGGTTATCTTGTTTTATTAAAATGCGGTGTTAAAATGACTATAGTGAGTGGGAAAGCACAATGGTAGTCGCTACGTTTCGGTATTCAGAGAAATGCAAGATGTGAAGGACAGTTACGTTCCCTTCTGCGCGTTCTTTATATCTGTTTATATATCTTTGCTACCGAAAGATCCCTGTCATCGAAAAAATCTCCAGGCAGAACAGAAAATCCCATCGTCTTGCAGAATAACCGGTGAATTGAAAAAGTGTAGCTAAATAAAAGTGGGCCACATAGAACAGATTTCTATTTTTTTATGCTTTGCCTTGCTTTTCAAACTTACTTTGGAGCTAAGGCCATTGATAAAACATTTGAAGAGAGACGAAGCATATGGGTGAATAAATAACTTAATTAATGAACTCCTAAAAGTCACACCTATGTTTATTATCCAGGGTTTTTACTCCAGCAACGTGAATTTTCGGGCTTCACGTGATTTCTGAGGTCAACAGAACAACAGTTCTTATCACATATGCTATCTTGGGTCCATACAGTACGCTCAGTTCAACCCAGTTGCCTAGTTTCTAATTCAGAATATCGTATGAGTCAACCAGGGGACTAAGAATTCAGAGACGAAATGGAGCTTCACATTGCTGGTTATCTTGTTTTATTAAAATGTGGTATTAAAATAATAATAATAATAATAATAATAATAATAATAATAATAATAATAATAACAACAACAACAACAACAACAACAACAACAACAAAGTTGGAAGGGACCTTGGAGGTCATCTAGTCCAACCCCCTGCTCAGACAGGAAACCCTATACCACTTCGGACAAATGGCTGTCCAGTTTCTTCTTAAAAACTTCCAGTGTTGGAGCATTCACCGCTTCTGGAGGCAGGTTGTTCCACTGGTTAATTGTTCTCACTGTCAGGAAGTTTCTCCTTAGTTCTAGGTTGCTTCTCTCCTTGATTAGTGTCCATCCATTGCTTCTTGTCCTGCCTTCAGGCGCTTTGGAGAATAGCTTGACTCCCTCTTCTTTGGGGCAGCCCCTGAGATACTGGAACACTGCTATCATGTCCCCCCTCGTCCTTCTCTTCGTTAAACTAGACATACCCAATTCCAGCAGCCGTTCCTTATATGCTTTAGCCTCCAGTCCCCTAATCATCTTTGTTGCTCTTCTCTGTACTCTTTCTAGAGTCTCAGCATCTTTTTTACATCGCAGTGACCAAAACTGGATGCCGTATTCCAAGTGTGGCCTTACCAAGGCCTTGTAAAGTGGTATTAATACTTATTTATTTATTTATTTATTTATTAAATTTATATACCGCCCTATCTCCCTTACGAGACTCAGGGCGGTGAACAGGCGTGATCTTGATTCTATCCCTCTGTTAATGACTATTTCCACCCTCTCGAAGGCTTGTTATGGAAATTGCTGGGGATGCTACAAGTCTTCAGTTAGTAGAACAAATGCTGTTTCTTTCAAATCTAGCTCTTTTTAGCAGTTGAATCCTAGAGGTGTCATCCAAAATTCTGACCCGCTGAGGACGGCGGCACAGTGTGGCTTCCTTCAGTTAAATCCCAAATTTCCCTGCAGGGCCATAAACACAACTGCTGGCAATCTTTTCGCTTCCTCTAATCTCCCCTGCTTAATTACTAAATGATATCTGGGACAAGCTGACATTCCTGCCCAAAGGCATGGGGCTGCCCTTGTAGACCACTCAGAAGTTACAGTGTATTGTCCAGAGTGCAGTGACTGCACAGTATTGAGTGCCCAGAAGTTTTGCACATGTTATATACATATTATATTGTGTGGGTTGCCCTGGTTCCCAGTTTTATTGTCTACGAAGATTCTCAATCATCCAGGACCTAGTTGTCCCAAAAGTGTTTTTCCAAAAGACAACTGAACTTTCTTAGGGTCCCCACCCCCTTCAATATGTCTTCTTCTCATCCAAGAAGCTTCTTCAGTTCTTAACTGATGTTAGAACTGAAAAAAAGCTTCTTGGATAAGAAGTGAAATATTTTCAAGGAACCCCCCCCCTCAAGAAAGTCCAGTTGCCTTTTGAACCGCACCCGTGAGACTCCCAGTTTTATTGTAGGTGCAATTTATGACCCTGGTTATCACTTTTAAAGTTACATGTCACAGGGCCTGGTTATTTGTGGGGCAGCCTCTCCTTAAGAATATCTGCCCATCCCACCAGATCAGATAGGATGGGTATGGCCCAGGTCTCCTCCCCCATCTAGTTTGCTAAATGAATGGTTGTAAGTTGAGGACAGCCTGTGATCTGGACAGGGCCTAGATCAGTGATGGCAAACCTTTTAGAGACCGAGTGCCCAAACTGCAACCCCAAACCCACTTATGCATCGTCGGGTGCCGGGTGGGTGTGGCCCATTGGGTGGGTGTGGCTGCGGCGGTAACGGCAGACTGGGTGGGACTAAAAAGTTCAATCAATCAACTCCAACTTTGCAAGATCTTTTTTTTCCCTGCGAGAAGTTGAAATTGACTGATTGATTGAACTTTTTTTTTTTTTGGACACGGCGACTGAGGCCTAAAGCGAAAAGGTTTTATAAAACCCAGCTGAAGGCCTAGGACTGGGGCGACGGCACGCGTGCCCACAGAGAGGCTCTGCGTGCTGCCTCTGGCACCCGTGCCATAGGTTCACCACCACTGGCCTAGATCATGGAAGCCCTCTGTGCAGCCAGTGACAGATTTAAATCCAGGGAACCTGTTCGTTCATGTATCTGTTCTTTCATGAGGAATATAATTTGAAATAATCTCTTTTCAGACTTGGGTGCTGTAATATAGCAGCTTCTCTGAGACAAGGAGGCAATAAAGATAATTTTAGCGAATTGTAATGAATTAAAACTCGTGGTAGAGATTTAATATGGGCAGCAATTCATGTAAGGCATTGGGTACAATGGAAATTTAGTCATTTACTTTCATTTAATTATTTTAAAAAATTCATTTTAATTTAATTGTTCCTGGGGCTAGAGCAGGGGTCTCCAAAATTGGCAACTTTAAGACTTGTGGACTTCAACTCCCAGAATTCCCCAGCCAGCATGGTGAGATACAACTGGATTGTTTCACTTATCCCTTCCATGGACTTAAGTTCTTCTTATTGTTTTTTCTCCACCTACCAGCTCTTTGAATCAGAAAGTTATACTTACACTTACCTGCTGGCTGATATGAAGACAAAAGAAGCCGTTCTAATAGATCCCGTTTTAGAAACAGCTAAACGTGATTCAACGTTGGTGAAGCAACTGAGACTTAATTTGCTATATGCAGGTGAGTTGTTTCTTCGTGGGAAAAATAAACAAAGGAAAGGAAAACAAACCAGCAAGCATGGTCTGTAAGGATCATAAAAAAGTAGCCATGATATAACTGGAGAGGGGTAAATGATTGGGGTGGGGGGGAAGGGGGGGTGCTTGGAAACCTAAGAGTTGGTGTTCAACCTTCCTGGATGTTATCAGCTGAAGGAATATTGATCTACTTTCAAGAGTACAATGTTTTTCCTTTTTAAGGAAACCGATTTGAGACTGAAAGTAAATTTTAGAGGGAACAATTTTCTGTATATTTTTTTACCCGGTCTCAAGTTGATGGCTCATCTGTTACAGACTAAGAGAGTTGGAAGGGACCTTGGAGGTCTTCTAGTCCAACCCCATGCTCAAGTAGAAAACCCTATACCAGGGGTAGGCAGCCTTGGCTCTTTTATGACTCGTGGACTTCAACTCCCAGAATTCCTGAGCCAGCATGGCTCAGCTTGGAAACCTCTCCCTTTCCCCTCAGTGTGGCTGGCTCAGGAATTCTGGGAGTTGAAGTCCACCAGTTATAAAAGAGCCAAGGTTGCCTACCCCTGGCCTATACCCTTTCAATGTGCTTGCTGGTTGAAAGAAGAGAGAGGATGGGTTAGGTTAGGATTGTTCTCCAGTGCTCAGTACCAACCATACTGATTTTGGAGTATGGGTACATACATACAACCACAATTAGGGCTAGAATTTCTGTTGCTAAGCAAGACGGTTGTTTAGCACTGAGTTGCGCCTGATTTTATGACTTTTTCTGCCACAATTGTTAAGCAACTCACTGCAGTTCTTAAGTGAATCACACAGTCGTTAAACGAATCTGACTTCCCCCCCACCCATTGACTTTGCTTATCAGAAGCCAGCTGGGAAGATCGCAAATGGGTAATCACATGATCCAGGAACCCTGCAACCATCATAAATAAAGGCCAGTGACCAAACGCCAAGTTTTGATCACCTAAGCTTGGGGATGTTATGATGGTCATAAATATGAGGATGGGCCATGAGTTACTTCTTTCAGTGCCACAGTAACTTTGAACGGTCACTAAACGAATAGTTGAAATACAGGTAATCCTCGACGTTCGTTTAATGACCATTCGAAGTTATGACGGCACTGAAAAAAGTGACCTATGGTCATTTTCCACACTTATGACCTTTGCAATCACATGATTTACATTCGGATGCTTGACAACTGACTCATATTTATGACGGTCGCAGTCCCGGGGTCACATGATCCCCTTTTGTGACCTTCTGACAAGCAAAGTCAATGGAGAAGCCAGATTCATTTAAGAAATGGGTTACTAATTTAATCTCTGCAGTGGTTCACTTAACAAAGGTGGCAAGAAAAGTCATAAAATGGGGCAAAAATCACTTCACAAATTCTTCCCTTAGCATCACAACTTCTGGGCTCCTTTGCGGTCGTAAGTTGAGGACAACCTGTACGCTCATCCGAAAGGTGTAAAAAAAACTGGGTTGGAGGCTTGATCTTATGTCTTAAGAAAACAGTTAAGTTGGAATATCGATGAGACATTAAAAATTGAGTAAAAATTAATAAGAGGATATGGATTGTTTATGAAGACTGAATGTAATTGAGATATGTATAAGCTAAAAATGTATTGATAAACGTAATAATGATGTTTTTATTGAGTGGATATAATTAGAAATGTACTAATTTGAATATGAGACAGTAAATGTTAAGGGAAAAAGAGAAGAAATATCTGATGTTGTAACCTGAGATTTGCACTAAGACTTTGTTATTGAACTATTGATTAACCCAGCCACCACGTTGCTTTTTAAATATTCAAATGTAAAATTGGAAAATTAATAAAATATTATATATAAATGAGATGATACCTCCCGCCTACCAGCCATTTGGAAACCCGCCCTTATTGGCAAACGAGTCCCTAACACAAAGAACGACACCAGACCCACACTCACGAAAACCACACAGGAGGTCACCACCGCACATCCACGCAAAAAGCAAACCCAAACCCACACAGATGATGAGGCATGACCACAAACTAGAAGCCAGTCCACAGCTGCATCATTAGCCACTTTAAACCCCTCCAATCCATACATGAAGCAAACTGACACCCACCATAAAGATGTGGCACGACCACGAAGCCAAACAACAGCAATGAAGCTCACCATCTCAAATCCCCCTGCAACTCAGACTAACCTGAGCACAACAAAGCCCCCACCCAAACAGAA